TTACGTATGCCGAACCATCGTTTGCCGAATAGAGTGCTGTTTTCCATGCCCAACTCAGAGTGGCGTAAACAGAGAGGTGGCCAACCCTTGAATTGGCAGAGGAGTATGAAGGATATCACGAAACGCTTGGGTGTTATCGGTGCTACTCAACTTCCAGGATGGGGACCGTGTGAGCCTCACTGTGCCTGGTTGGAGACACTACAAGACATGGCTGCCAACCGATGTCAGTGGCGTTCTTGTTGTCAGTTTCTATCCAGATTGCCTGAGTGAATGTCTGGAGGCGTAGGGACCTCGGAATGATTGTGTTAAGCTAGCACTAAGTCCCTTCCCCATCCGACTTTATTCTTTTCTTTACAATAAGGCTTTCAAATAAGTCATGGTCGGCAGGCAGTGAAGCATTGGTGTTGAACACTGATATCATGCTGTCGTTGATGATGATAATGATGCACGGTATGGCATGCGGCTCATTTAAGGTACCACTGATATCATGCTGTCGTTGATGATGATAATGATGCACGGTATGGCATGCGGCTCACACCTTTAAGGTACAAAGTGCGGCTACAAGCCTGGTGGGATCAGACCCACACCCCACGCTTGCAGGTGAGCCAATCGACGTGGTAAATAAATTTGTCTACCTGGGCAGCTGCATAAGTCCTGGTGGACTGGTTGGAGATGAGATTATTTCTCGAATCGGACAGGCCAGGGCAGCTTTTGCCAACCTTCGACACCTATGGCCCCGACGTGACGTGAAGTTGTTTGTCAAGGGAAGAGTTTACACCGCGGTGGTGCAATCCATACTGTTTTATGCATCATCATCATTGACAGCATGACATCGGTGTTCAACACCAATGCTTCACTACCGTAACTGCTTTATGGATCAGAGACGTGGCCCCTACGTGTAGAGGACATTCGGAAGATGTCAGTGTTTGGTCATCGGTGCCAGCTTTTGCCAACCTTCGACACCTATGGCCCCGACGTGACGTGAAGTTGTTTGTCAAGGGAAGAGTTTACACCGCGGTGGTGCAATCCATACTGTTTTATGCATCATCATCATTGACAGCATGACATCGGTGTTCAACACCAATGCTTCACTACCGTAACTGCTTTATGGATCAGAGACGTGGCCCCTACGTGTAGAGGACATTCGGAAGATGTCAGTGTTTGGTCATCGGTGCCTCCGCAGCATTGGTCAGGTCTGGTGGGAACATCAGATGGTAATGCTGACGTACGCCAGGTGGTCTTAGGAAGAAGGAAACCTCCCGCGGTAGATGAATTACTCACGCTTCATAGATTGCGCTGGTTGGGACATGTACTCCGCATGCCAGAAGACTGTCTGTCTCACAGAGCTCTTTTCTCCCAGCCCTGTACTATGTGGAAGCGACTGAGAGGTGGACAGTTTATGATCTGGCAACGAAGTACGGAAACACTAACCATCAAACTTAGTCGGGTGGGCAACTGCCGCCTTCCTGGATGGGGACCCTGTGACTCCAATCACCAGTGGTTAATGACATTGGCGGAAATGGTCCAGTTGCAGTCCGTGGCGCTCGTTCATCCAAGCTATCACCTTCAATGTGTAGTTACCCCATTTCCGAACAAATTGAGCACGCCTTCGCCTCCGAGGCTTGATATTGTATTCCACTTTCCTGTTTTCCGGTGATCAAAACTGTAACAGCTGGAACCAGGGGGGCGAGATGGCCGAAGTGGTTAGAGCGCGAATTTACTGACCGGAAGGTCCATAGTTCAAACCCGACCTCTGACTCTCGACTTCCCCTGTCTAGGCTTGGGCAACCTGGCAGTACCCCAGCCCTCATGCTTCGGGTGGGTGCCATGGCAGCTAGGCACCGGAAGGGTGCTACAGCTGAACGATTATTATTTATTACACGGTTTGCGGCTGATAAATTGATTGATTGATTGAGGTGATATCAGCTTGACTCAAGGGTAGGGTGTACAAAGTTGCTGTTCGACCTATTATACTTCATGAATCAGAGAGATGGCCGTTGCATGTTGAAGATCTTTGAAGTCTGTTCGACCGGAGTGCTTCCAGGTCGTTGCGTGATTCTGGTGGGAACATCAGATCAGTAAGGCTTAGGTACGCCAAATATTTTACGAAAAAATCAAGTTTCCACCGGCAGCTCAGTTGGTGACATTCCATGGGTAGCGCTAGTTATGCCACGTAATTCGTATGCTAGTGGAATAAGCTAATGAGAGCCGCGCCTTAATAGTTAATAGCCAAATCGCTTCATTGATTTTGGATGGTTTGATTTGTTTGGTGTAACGGAACGAAAGCTACTCAGTGAAGGCTGAGTGACAGACGTCTGCAATGGCCACTGACCAATAATTTATTTCGTCCCGCGCTTCCTATCCGATGAGACAGTTGCCAAACTGATTTAGTTGACTGGTGGGGGGGGGGTTTCCATGCGTCATTACGAAGTCTTGAACAGACTTTCTATGTATAATGTCCATCCGATGCAATGCTGGCAGAAGAAGGCAAACGAACTACATGGCCTAATCGGCGTTACTCGTGAAGTGCGACCAATTGATCTATCGATGGGATGCTCATTTCTCCATGAACCATCTGGCGTATCTCACCACTACTGATATGGTAATATACTAAGATAATAGTTCATCTGTAACAACCTTTCGCTAGTGGAATAAGCTAATGAGAGCCGCGCCTTAATAGTTAATAGCCAAATCGCTTCATTGATTTTGGATGGTTTGATTTGTTTGGTGTAACGGAACGAAAGCTACTCAGTGAAGGCTGAGTGACAGACGTCTGCAATGGCCACTGACCAATAATTTATTTCGTCCCGCGCTTCCTATCCGATGAGACAGTTGCCAAACTGATTTAGTTGACTGGTGGGGGGGGGGTTTCCATGGGGCATTACGAAGTCTTGAACAGACTTTCTATGTATAATGTCCATCCGATGCAATGCTGGCAGAAGAAGGCAAACGAACTACATGGCCTAATCGGCGTTACTCGTGAAGTGCGACCAATTGATCTATCGATGGGATGCTCATTTCTCCATGAACCATCTGGCGTATCTCACCACTACTGATATGGTAATATACTAAGATAATAGTTCATCTGTAACAACCTTTCGGTGCCATACCGAAGGAAGGAAGCACGAGGGCTGGGATACCGTCAGGTCGCCGAAGCCTAGACTGATCTGATGTTGGAAGATGCATATATAAAAGTCGCATGTGGATTCATATCAGTTGCAGGATTACGTCAGTGAAATGATGCTCATGTAGTTATTTGGCAATAATAAATAAAATGATTGCTGAAGTAATCTCTTCAAGAGAGATTGTAGGGATGCACGCAGTGCATGGGAACTCACATGCGAGTTGATGAGCTGAATAACCAAGTGAGGTAGTTCTGTGTCTATGATTTGTGTGCTCCATGAGGAAGATGCCTGAGAAAAGATTCCCTCTGTTTTAGGTGCTGCTGTATCCCTCACTCACCAGAACCGGGTGTCACCGATAGGAATTAGGAATTGTCGTGACCCCTCACTGTTTGGGATTTTAGTTCCTTATGGATCTGGATCAGACAGTAAGTCACAGTCTACTTCCCACTTTTGAGCCTATTGGTTTTGTGCGGTACAGATGCATGTGAACTGCTAACAGTTTATCTGTGCCTAACGGGTCATTTTATTGCTCTGAAACGATCGTCGTCTTGCTTTATCACGAATGGTTGATACAATTCGACGCTCGTCCTTAGTTTTGTTTTCCATGGCTGTAGGGTCCATGCTTCACATCTGTATGGCCTTTGAGTGTACGTCTTGATAGTTTTGTGCCTCACCACAAATAGCCATTCGTTGTTGATGGGACTATTTTCGGTTCTGTGCTTGTAATTCACGCTTAGTAATAAATGCACATACAGATGACATAAATTCCAACGCTGCACACAGTTGCTCCATATACATTTGCATAATTTTCCTTCAGTGGGTCGCGCGTCCAAATCCATCGGAAACCTCATGAAAATAGAACAGGCTCATTCTTCCCTTGGTTGACAATAAAAACGAAGGATCGTACAAACCATTCTATCTCGTAGACCGTAATCACTACCAAATGTGAGCAGAATTTTGTGAAGGAGAATACAGCTACTACCACCACTACTACAATCTTCAACTATTCCATTAGATTTCCACTTAAACTCCGGGTTACGCAGCAGTGTTCTCATGATTAATCCAAGTCCAGTCGGTAACGGTATAAGTTGAAATTCACCCGACCGACCAATTTACGTCTATTCCCATCGACCACTAACTACTCTCAATCTATTTACTATTAGTCTTTCACACGCTCCTAATTATTGACTCGTGCCACGTGTTTATCCTTTTTTTAATGTTCTGGAAATACCATTTGATTCATTGAGATGTTGAGAGTGACCATTTGCTTTCAAATGCTCGTCAGCTGGCCGCTACATATCGTGGTCGAGTATCGAAATTATAGGCAAACATAAAATTCGATAAGTGAACACCGGAAATGTAGTAACAAATGGGCACACTTAGATATCAAGTTCCACTTGGCGTTTGACCTGACAGCTTTCTTTCTACCCTAACTACTGGACGGATTCAGTTAGATGGATGTAGCGAGCTTTGTTCGCACAATCGGGCCACACCTGATTGACGGATACGGACATAAGACTAACATAGGTTGCATCACAGACGGTGGCCCTTATAAGCATACTTGGAGGAAAATGGTGACTTGCATCTCAGTGTTCTACCAGATTGGTAGAACGGCGTACACTACGGTATACAGTACTGTCAAGTGCAGCATATTGCAAGAAAATCTGGGCCGGGCATTGCACTAATTTTCATGGCGTCGTCGCACTGAAGCAAAAAGCGTCGTCCCGTGAGATGCCTGGCTTTGAGAACTCGGAGGACGACCTGACAAGAAAACTGCAGTCCAGAGGTTCATTGTTAAGAACAGTGTGGAACTTTATGGTCCACACAGCGAAGAAAGACCAGTTTCTTATATCGTCTTTCAAAGGAAACTCGGTTGCCGAAGTATTAGTAGAGAACTTGAACAACATGAAAAAGGTAATTCTCAACTGTTTTATTCATTCAAAATCACTGTACCATTGGTATAATAAGGATAAACTGTAAGTGTTTCAACTCCATCCGTGATAATATATTCTGTTGTGGAGTTTGCGGGATATGTGTTTTTCATCTTCTCATCGCTCTCGTTTGAACAGTCGCCCTCATGTTCCGGTCTAATTATTCTGGCGAGTCCACACCAAAGGGGGAAAGCACTGGGGTCGAGTTTCGCTCTTATTAGAGTTCATCAGCAGTGCATATCCAACGACCATGCCGGGGTTTGAGCTCCGGACACCTGACGTGCGAGGCGGCAGTGTTACCACCACCAATGCAAGTTGGATGCATCTGAGTCTTCACGTCTGAACGGGCTAACGTGTTCAGCGGGCTTCAAGCGTCTATGATGCCACCTGGCTGGGAAGTCCTGACGGGCGGGTCAGTCGATCGTCACAACCGGGACATTTACTGGGTCCTCGTTCGATGATGAATCGGGCGCACTAATCACATCGGTCAAGCGTGAACACGCTCGCCCATTCAGACGTGAAAATTCAGTTGCGTCCAACCTGCGGTGTTGGGGTAGTGGTAACACGCTCTCATTGCATGTCAGGTGTCCGGAGTTCAAACCCCGTCGCGGCCATTGGATATGCACTTCTGAGGAGCTCTAATAAGAGCGAAACTTGAGTCCAGTGCTTCCCCCCTTTGGTGTGGGTTCACCAGAATAATTACGTCAGGACTAGAGGACGATTGTTCGAACAAGTGATGTGAGTATGAATGGTAATATATTCGTTCAGCTGCGTCTGTGACACGTCTTCTATTAGTCGGGTGACCCATCGGCTTACCATCTGTGATCGCTCAAGCACCATTGTTGCCAAGCTGAGGCACACACAGGTCACACTTGGTATATCTGTATCACGCCAGCTGTCCCATAAGTTTCTTGCTATTTCGATCTTATCGCCCAACCAATCACGTGCCTTGCGTCCCTCTGGATCATCATCATCATTGTCAGCGGTAATAATCGCGTACTTGCCGTACAGTGGTTGTAGCTGCCACACTTTAATTCACTGATGACTTGGGGAGGTGGGTTGGGTAGCTCCGCATTGGAGGATGGATCTGATAAATTAGTGCGTAAATACAGCACTGTCAGTGAACTATTGAGTGTGGATTCGCACGGGAGCTATGCATTGAAAATAGGGATAACTGTGGACATGCCCCATTCGTTCCATATAATACTAATAAGCTTTGTCAGATGGGTCACCAGGGATTTTCCGCCTTCTTTGAAGAGGGCTGGATGCAAACCATCCGGTCCTGGTGTCTTCTCGCGCTTCGGTAAGCATATTTCGTACCTTGTTTCTTCTTACGACTGGCGATCAAGGTTTACATCCCATCCTCCTGGAGGTCACCCGTGAACACATCTTACTCCCTGAGACATGTCAGTCGTTCTCTATTCCCTTCTATGGGTGATATTTGATGGTCGGTTTCTTCGGTCCTTCAAAAGGTTGGACAGTTAGGGGGTCATTGTTTGTATTCGTATATCCTACTAAACAGTAGCTTGGTATATAGACTTTCCAAAGTGTTATTCAATCGGGACCGTTAATAGCGTGCATCACTCAGCACTCAGATTGAGAACGTTACCATTTCAATGCATATAATGATATAACATAAGTTAGATACAATATATACTAAGACATCGCCTCCCATTTCCTGTGTCAAAATGGAATTTGCTGAATACACCATATTAGTGCTTAGCTGATGATGAGCATAATGCAATTCAGAAGGCGTATGTGCACTAATAGAGATATTTAGTGTGGTTGCGACACGTATAAAAATGAATACAATGCGAAATGGGAGCAAGTCAATAAAGGAACTTATCATATGTGAGAGTTCCTTGATGAAAGTCCGGACGGTGGGAACGTGTTTTCTCCACAGTTTGGCTGTTACACGTATTCCATGATTGTCCGTGGACTTGGAGTGTTTAGCTGACTACTTGCTCCCTGCGCGCGCGCGAGTCCATGCGTGTTGACTGTGTTGTTGCTTCCTATATATAGGAAAGTTTGATGTGTGTATAAAATATGAATCGTTCCGATGCGTACAAGACAGGAACTGACTTATAGTCGGTCAAGGTTGCGGGTGGAACGGCGTTTGTCACGTGACTTGTGTGCTTGTGTAGCAGGTAAGTCGTGGGATCTAGTAAACACCCATGTACTGGACAAATTAAGTGAAGTTGGTTGAGGGGACATGGAAATGTCCGCTACAACCACTACAGGTGCACATTGAAACCCACCTCTGATAGTGGATGTCTTAACACAGCCAGCTTCATCTGTGCCATGACCGTCCCAGTAAACTTAAAATCAGCGGCTGAGTGGCCTGCGGGTTGATGATCTCTGGTCCCAAAACGTCATCCATCAGCACGGATGGACCGCTCAGCAGTACGGCGCATATCCCTTGGCACGTGGCTGTATGGCAACAAAGCATCGGTGTTGAACACTGATGTCATGCTGTCGATGATTATATTCCTGCGCAAAATAGCATGCAAAAATAGCATAGCAAAATAGAGCATGCGACTAACAGCCGTTTGTCGGCAATCTCGCCCCACTGACGACCGCAACGGACCTTTTCTTATTTTTCCTTATCTCCGGAGCACCAGTTTCAACTAAGCTATATAGTCCAGCTGCTGTGTCTCGGCGTATAGCTGCCATTCAAGTCGAGGGAAGTCAAGTTAGCTACCACAACGCAGAAGCAGTTAAACGACAAGATGTTTGCCTTTGTCGGTGGTCGTGGCCTCACCTCTGTGTTATCCAGAATCTAGAGTAGGTTACATAGTTGAGGTTGATTACTGGTGGCAAAACAAAGTCAAGAGCAGTGTTTCTGTAACTCAACTTTTCGGTTGGCGTTGGTCACCTTTTCCAGGGACAAGGGGAAGCACAAACTGGAGCTGCCTCCATAGGTGGTCTCGATTTTGTCCTGAAAGCTGCAAGGACAAGAAGTAAAGTGCTGTTGTCTGGTCGTTGTTAAAAATTTAAGGATTTCTGTATAGACCCAAGTTGTCAACCTTCTGGATGAGGTTAAACACCATGACTCAGCTGCTGGTGGCTGATCGGTAGCGTAATTGTCGTGCACGGAGACATAGCGCCTCATACGGTTCAAGTTTTTTGACTGGATTGTTCATCGATTGATGTCGTCAGCGTAAAAAAACTTCCTCACCTAACATTCATTAGCATCATGGTTCGTACTGGGTTACTACCCTCACTCAGTTAGTACACATAGGATTCCCATGGACCATTTAGGAAATAAGTCCATAGCTTTGTATGTCATTCAAGTTACCCAAGTTGCACGCAGAGAATCGTGCTTCGCTTCATGTAACTGTCTTTGCTTTACCAGGTCTACAGCTCGCTCCTTTTGTACTTTTCGCAGATGGAACGTGATCTCCACAGACTACAGGACCAATATCAGCAAACCCTCCAAAGTGCAATGACCAAGCTTGATAAAGAGTTTCTTAGAAAAATGCAGGTTGGTACTCCCTCGTTTTTAACATTATCACTTCTCATAGGCAACGTATTTCCGTTGTGGTTTGCAATGTTCGGAAAACTCCGACATCTCCGTCACTGATGTACAACGGTGCATCGAGCGCTGCGAATCCCCTCTGTCACAAGCACAGAATCTTATGCAGTCCGAACTCTCCTCTTTTCAGGTTAGCTTTTTCTGAATATTGATAGTTAATCTGTAAAAACTACGAAGCATGGACGGTTGTGGTATAATTCAACCCATCCGTCTGTTACTTTTCTCCGGATTTTTTTCAGCACGCTTCTGAAATGTTTACTCGTACTCTATTCTTCAAGATCCGTGTTCTCAATGGTGTGGCGTACTTTGCCGTGTAATTTCAACTCTACACAAATAGCTGTTCTGCTTCAGTTCAGTCCTGTAACGTTAAGACGGAGCAAGTATCTTCATTGCTTCCAGTGCAAAACCAACTGCGCATTGATCATTTCCACACGTTTGGTAACGAAAAGTTAAGGGGTATGACGCCTACGATTTTGCACTTCACTGTTTTGCAAATAATTGTTCCCATGCGATCCAATGCGTTTAAGAGCATCTTGTCTTGGGCATAGTATATGACGAGGTATGCTACATAGACCACTGTCATTATTTTCGCAAGATAAGTTCTTTTGTTTTCGTTTTTTGCGGCCCGTTTCTCAGAATATCATTTCTGGTTACTGGCCAGCTGGATTCTCCCGAACAGCATAACTGTACAAAGCTGCAGTGTGAGAAGTTGACCTCGTTTGCCTAGGCTAAACAGGCTTACTCATTTTAGCGTGCTCCACTCACCGTTCATCCATGGTCGGATCGTTTTATGTGCCGAGCCTAGAATAGCAAAAACAGTTGCAGAGCTTGTGAGTTGACAGAATGTTGTCAAGGCGCCTACGGATAGCTTGAATAACACTTTCGGAAGCGAAATTCTAGTATCCTTGCGTCTTGCCGTTGATACTGCCTTCAGTATTTGGTGCTTGCTATCAGCCCTCATATGTTTTAAAATGGCATTGCTATCAGGGAAGAAATTTCGACGGGAATATCTGTCATTAAGCGAGATGACTCAGTGATTAAAGCACGAGTTTAATGACCAGAACGCCCGTGGTTCGAACCCGACGTTTGCCCCTGGACTTCCTTTATCTATGCTTGGGTAACCTGGTAGCATCCTTCGGGTGGCATGACAGCTTGGTACTAAGAGGGTGTTACAGCTGAACGGTTTTTTATCAGGGTCATTCCGGGACGCATATCTGATCACTAACTTGCATCTGACAGTCCCCTCCTCCAGTATCTCCAGAATACCCCAGGCAATTCGATAAAGAACAGACTGACACCGGAAATTTGGAGATCCTCTTCACGTGTCTTCTTTACATGGCAGTATCTACGTTGATTGTGCCTTATAAAGTAATCAGGCGCCCTCAATTAGCCATATAAATTGCCGCCTAAGGAGAACTATTCATTAACTACGGTTCTTCTGCATTCTCGTTTTCCAGAACCGAGTGCAACAGTGTAGTTCTGAATGTGCGAATCGTGCAAGAGATGGACTGAAACCAGAACCCTCCGATGAAGAAATCCGAAAGGCGCAACAAAAAGCCTTCAAATGTGCACAGAATTGTGTCGAAACCCAACTTTCATCTGGGTTACCTGCCCTTGTGGAGCGGTTGCGGGCTCAGCTGCAGAAACTCAAAGCTGATCAGTTGAAGATGATTTGATAGTTAGACACAGTACTGCATTTCGCATACTGTCGGCAATACAGTCTTTGAGATCATGATTGTTCATTTGTACCACAATAAAATTAGGTGGGGGGTTTGGCAACTTCAGTACGAACGTTTCATCCTGTAATCGTGACACTAAGTAAGTGTATGCGTTGAGTGCGATCCTGAATTGCTGGGTTGACTGGGCTGTTAAAGCCGATAATTGGAGAACAGACTCGCCGTAAGGTTTCTCCAACTTGCCGAAACGGACTATTTCTGTCACAGTGATCCTCACATTGGGGAACGACCTCGTTCACCAAATCATGCAATTTAACCTCTTGGGAAGAACACCGTGCGGTCACGCATCACTTACTGCAGATATGACCAATGTGAACCAAACATATCTCGACTGTTTTGTTCGACTTACCAGTGTATGCAGATTACTGGGAAAAATCTCGTCTCCAAGAACCGATAAGCATTGAAATTGGGGCAGGGCTTCTGGGGTCTTTGATCGTCTCTGGACTGATTGGAAAATTGAGTTTTACGTGCCCACCCAAAAACGACCTCGAGGAAACAAGTGAGTAATCGCACCAGTGAAGTGCTAGCTTTACAATGGGAACGATAACGTGAATCTGACATGCCCCGTGCAGTGAGGTGTCCAATTAAGTGGGCACTTTATTTTGAAATACTTACATGGCCGTTAACGGAAAGAACGGAAAGGAATAAGTCTTCCGGTTTCCTTAGGCGCACCTTAATTTCCCGTTGTTTTTACGTAGTCCATGAATCGCTGTGAGGAAATTGTGAAGACTGTCCCTGCTTTGGTCTATATATATATATATATATATATATATACGGTGGAAAACTTGGTACATTGCTCCATGTATGACCTAATCAAGTTGTGGTGGTGATGCACTGCTCCACCATTTTTTATTTCACCGCTATATATATATATATATATATATATATTCACCATATAGTATCGTGATGAGTTCCTGTTAAGTCATGCTATTAAGGTTGATCGTCACCTGTAGACTCTACTACGCCCACTTGATAGGAGCCAACAGAAGAGATCGCCCGCGTGACTAAGGTTTCCGGGACCCGATTGCCAATCTGTTGAGGAGAAATTTATCCGTTGATGAAGTGAGTGCCAGTTCACTATGCTACAGCAAACTGCTCACAACGACCGCGTGGCTGTTTTGCCTGCCATCAATCCTCTGGACCAGACTACAAAAAGATATATTGTATGAAACACTGTGTACATAACGAGATCGGTCACTCAGGGCGAAATAATTCCATCTGTGGGTGTTCTGATTTCCATGGTGGCTGATCTGTCGGTAACACCCGTTATTACTGGAAGGGTTGGCTCTTGACCAGGCCATGGTTTTGGACGTCCGACGTGTGCAGAGCATGGCACTTGTCCGTACACCTCGCACATGCACTGTCGACGACATCTAAAAAATAATTCAATCCACAGGTTGGCTCACTTGGCACCGAAATTGGCTGGGTTTTCCTCGAGTTGAGTATCAAATTTTGGCGTCGAAGCTGAATGAAGTGGCTTGCCTAGGATAGACTTTAAATGGTCGTGTATTTCAATGCCTTTCCGGAAAGAACAGTCGATCAACAGTTCCTCATCATGCTCAAGATACACTCTGACGAATGGGGTGGGACATATGTTTTTCAAAGTGATTATCTGCTTTGGATTAACTTGTTCAGTTCAAGGCAGATACCTGGACTTCCGGATTCTTGAATTGCAAGGGCGGTAAAAACCACTTTATCAAGTCGTCACAACCCTCGGATATGTTCTGATCGGGTAGGTGATGGATCGCTATCACTTTAACCGCATCATTCAAGATCAGCCGTCCCGATTCCAAGTATTTCTTTGTACGAGTGATGGCTAACCGGCCACCTTTCAAAAATGGCATAGCTCTTTCGACCTTCGATCTGCACGGAATAGCTGTGTGGTAAAAGAAAGTTTGGAAATGGAGAATGATTAACAGAAAAGAAAGTGACCGAATAATGATACACTAGCTCTTTCAGAATTCGACCAGTGAAATAAGCTGCATTTTCAGATTGTGCCGCAGTTAAACTCAAAACATGCAACTATTGTGTCTACTCAGCAAATAGTTGTTGCAGTCCACTGAAAATGAGTCCGAAATAGGGGCGCGTTGATTTACGAGGCAAGATCTAATAGAGTTTGAAACAAAGCGCTATATTGTTTTGGTAGCTGTGATTTAGCCAGTAGGGAATTTAGACTGCCGGGAATTCAACATGCCGTGTACGAAACCGAAATCGGTGTTTCCGGGGCTTGACAAAATCAACGTAGTGGCTAAGGAAGCCTCACATGGTGAGACTGAGGCCAGAAAGAAGATTCCGTTAGCCAGTATACAGTGCTCTTCTGATTTGGAGAGATGGATGGCCAAGCACGAGAATGTTTCGTCCAGACAGCGGAAGAAGCGTCATTCATTGAGAACGTCGTGAGATTATCGGAGTTAAGCGGAGGGGAAATTATCACGAAAATGTGGGAATATAAAGACCACCAATACTAATTTTTTTCTTTCAAAGTCTACTCACGGCCAAGTACAGGCCGAAAGGTCGCAGTCCACATGTACAGTGGTGTACAATATATAATTCGTGTTATATATATTTATATATTACGTACGCATTACACATGCAATGCTTAACACGCAGTGGTATACGTGATGATGTACATAATGCATAATACACCGTATATAATGCAGTCTACTGTAAACAGCGGGATCAACAGAAAAGCCGTTGGATCCCCAGCTATCGAGACAGCTGGTGAGAATCCTTGAAAGTGCCTATTTTAATAAGAGATCCGTAGTGAATGCGGGGTGGAGCGGGTGTTTTACCTATCCTGGAAGTAGTATTGGTTCCGGTTGTAATGTGACAAATGGGCTTAATGAACACATTTCTTAGACTCGTGTCGTGTTCTCTAATTTGAGACGCCTACGGCTACAGTGCGGCATAGCCCTGAATCCTAAGGGACGTGCGTGTGATGACAGTACGGGATTGTTGTGGCTGTCAGAGGGGAGCTCTTCAAGCCCTTGACAACCGTCGTCTCAGAATCACAGATTGTGTGGGATAGTGTCGGCGAATCCGTAACGAGGCACTTAGTAAGCGAGTATCCGGTTTTGCAACGGAGACCTCAGTCGAGGGTTGAGTCCAGTATCAGACGTTTTCTAGAGTCTCTTCCAAATGCTCCACCATCAGATGCGAACTTATACTGGGACGAGATTGCCACCTGTTTGCATAGTGCTGGGAATTTTGCCTGTGACACGACCCAACCAGGCGCATTCAAGCACTGGATATCGGACCGAACGGTGGCACTACTTAAATCTCGAAGAAATATCCCAGCCGGTCCCGAACATAACCCGGTGCGAAGAGCCATCAGACGCCAAGTGAAAGTGAG